AGATCATTGAAACAGACTTGCATGAGACATTGGGATAGGCTCTAAGCCTCCAGCTGGACCCGTGGAGGACATTGTCATAGGTTGCAGGTCTTCCAGAACAAGCACTGACTGTTCCTTTCACTTAACCACAGACATCAGCAATATACTTAATCCCAGCTATCCTTGTATATACATATAAATTTTGTTTTTCATTTTAAAGAGAAAAGAAAAAAATCCAAAATAACAAAAACAAATACATAAACAAGACAGTATAGAGAACAATAAAAATGATACAGAATTTCAAAACATGGTGATAGGATATTAACAATGGTTGTTGTATTACATAATGTCATCTTCAAAATGTTTGCACATATAACAAGATATAGGCATGCAAGATGATCAAACAGTTACACATTACCAGTTCCTTTCAATAAACCAACAGATATTAGTAGTACAATTATCCTAGCTTTCCTGTGTATACATATACATATTTTTCCCTCTTCTTTTTCCTCTCCATCCATCCCAGTTGAACAACATATATTGTATTTTATTTCTTAATATGTATATTTACTGCTACATTTTTTCTGTCTCAAATTGTAGTATTTTTTTCTTTCTTTTCAATAAGACACATCGTAAACATGTCTTAATAGTTTATTAAGCACATATTCTTTTTCATAACTACTAGTTAATTGTATATACCAACTAAATTCATGAATTTCTGTACTCGTCAATTTTTCTTCTGTGAAATTTCTTACTATTATCTAACTGAATTACATCTTTTATGGTTAGGACCTTCTCTTATTTTTGTATGTTCATTTTATATATCTAAAAATGTATTTTCATCAGGCATTTATTCTGCCTTTCCTGTACTAAAAATTGGAGCTAAAAAAAAAGTTGGAGCTAAAAAATTTTCTCATTGTGGAAATATTTTATCTACAAACTAAAGAAGGAAAGATCAAATTTAATATCAGTGTTTTTTTTTCTGGTACCAGGAATCGAACTCACGAGCTCACACCTGCCAGGCAGGAGCTGTGCTGCTGAGCTAAATCCCCAGCCCCAATATCAGCATTTTTTCTTTTCCTCCTCTAACTTCTTCCTTCCTCTTCCTCCTCCTCCTCCCTCTTCTTCTTCTCTGCCCCCCTTTCTTCTTCTCCTTCTTTACTGAGGATTGAACCCAGGGCCTTCACAGTGAGCTATGTTCCTGTTTTTCATTTTTAGAGAGGGTTTTGATACATTTCCCAGGCTGGACTCAGATTTGTAATCTTCCTGTCTTGGTGTTCCAGAGCGCTAGGATCACAGTCCTACACCTCCACATCTGGCTCCATTTTCAACTTCTAATGAATTAATGGTTAAATGGCTGCCAGCATCATACAGAGAAAGATGACCAGATAGTACAACTCCTATATGCCACATATAAAAGAATATTGACTTCAAATCATACCTGAATCTGATCAAACCCATAATCTCACTACCAATTTATAGAAAACACAGAAGACAGAAGAATATGATAAATTGCAGGAGAGTGTAATTAGCAATATCCAAATATGAGAACGTGAGGGTTGGGGATATAGCTCAGTGGCACAAGCACCTGCCTGTCAAGAGCAAGGTCCTGAGTTCGACTCCTGATACCACAAAAAAAAAAAAAAAAAAAAATGGGAGAAAGGAAGTCACACCAAATGATACCAGATTTTTTTAGAACTAAGTTGTACAGGAAAAGAGAGAGCAAAGAGGCAACTAAAGGACACAAGAAACACAAAAGATGTATATTTTTTTAAAAGACAACTGTGGTAGATTAACTAATGGTCAACTTGTAACACCCAGCTGAACTGAATCAGCATGGTGCCGGATGTGGAAGGCCCACCTGGGGAATGTTGTCAACAGCATAAAAGCAGAACTAGAGGGGAAGATGGTGCTGTTGATTCTCCTGGAGAAGCTTGTCATGCTGGCTATCCTGATATGAATTCGGCTGTTCTCATCATTGAAGGAGCTTGGGATCTTGCTGTTGTTGAGGATGGCTATCATTCTTCTCAGGGGAGCTCTGGTCCTCACTTTGAGTGTCGCTTCCTGGCTCCAGTGCAGATCCCTCCACCTGTTGGCACAGATCCTTTATCCTGCTGGTGCAGACTTCCTAGCTTCCACCACTGACCTTTGGGTCTTCCCAGTTGAGATCCTTGAAACAGACTTGCATGAGACATTGGGATAGGCTCTAAGCCTCCAGCTGGACCCGTGGAGAACATTGTCATAGGCTCCAGGTCTTCAGCTGGACATTGCTGTGGGATCCAGGCCCTCAGGTGGATTCTTTGGGTCTCTAGTGTGTGGACAGATCTCCTGCACTCTTTTGCATTTGACTCTTTGGATGAGCATTATAAAATAATCCTATGAATTATGTGTCTTATATTAAATCTTTTCCCTTGTAGACCCTGACTACAACAACAAATTACGCTTCATTATGATAGAATCATAAAGAAAGCAAGGAAATGATGACCATGAAAGTCAACATATGTTTACTTTTAGAGAAAAAGGAAAGGACTGGCATTGGAATAGGGTAAATGAAGGATCCCTGGGTTAGTGTGGACAGTGTACGCAACTAGGATACAGCAGAGAATGACAGGAAGGTCTGGCCCTCAGTTTTAAATACTATTAGGAGAGATAAATAAATAATACAATGTCAGCATCTTCCTCTGTTTTCTGTTGTTATAGCTGAGTACTACAGACTGGCCACTTTAAAAAAAAATAACTTTATTTAGCTCACAGTTGTGGAGGCTGAAAAATCCAAGAATATGCCATGAGGTTCTCTTCTCCCTGTATCAGCACTTGGAGCAACAGAACCAGCATGCCAGAGAGAACTCACTTTTATAACAAATCCACTTTGTGGTGATCAATTAACCCATTAATGTATGAATGAACTAATCATGACTCAATCACTTTCCAAAGGTCCCACCTCTCAACAGTGCTGCAGAGGAGACCAAGCTTCCAACACACAACCCTGGCGATACAGACAAGCAAGTTAGTGGTACAAAAAATATGAAATATAGTTGATCCTGTACTTCTAAAGGGGGCGCTGTTGCACTCTCAACATAAAATATATATAAAATCTAATGAATAGATAAGGCAAAAAGTAACAATTTTTTTTCAATATAGTGCAGCCTATTAAGAGAAAAAAATAAAGAGGGAAATGAAGAGAAAAGAAATAGAGGCATAAAAAGAAGACTGTCCACTGAGAAGAGAGAGAACTATGAATGTATAAAACACCTATATCCACAGGGCCTGAATTACATGAGGTAAATCTTTTGCTACAGCTACAAATTCATGGCTCCACATATCATAGTCCACATACCACTTCTCTTCAGGTATTTGGTAGAGATTTGGAGGATGCCCCATATTTGGTCTTTCCATTCCCAATCTGCCTTAGGGGTGTGTCCCCTATGACCCTTGTTCATGCTTTATGGATACAGTTCTGACTCTGCCCAATGCAGACTTTATAAAGAAAATGAGGGTGAGAATAGAAGGGCATTTGTCCCCAGAGAAGAAAAGAGCACAGAGGAGGCGTGGAGGTGCCTAAGCAGACTCTGAGTTAGTCAGGGCCAAATCTATACAACCCAGCCCTGTTGCTGGCGGCCTGGCAGTGCAATGTAATGGATGCAGAGGACACGCAAGGTCCACGTAAAGGCAATTTTCCCTTGGCTCACTTCTGAAACCAACTCCTCTTGAAAAATCATGGGAATTAACAAGGTTTTCTTTCTTGAATACTTTTTTTTTCTTGAATACTTTTTAACATTTATTTCCTTTTAATATTCATCTCCACATCTATCTCCATGAAAAGCAAGCATTTCTGTGTTGATTGGAGGCCTGATAACACTCAGGCTCTGGGAGACTAAATTACTCTCCCAAAATTGGAACAAATTGTGTCCAATGCCAAAGCCCAGATGCCTCACCATGACCCCTCCTCAAAGCTGCTACTTGAAGAAACTGCTTGTTATTAACCAAGAATTGTTGCTAGAAATGATTTCCACTCCTGTCCCTCCTCAGCTCTGAACATTAAATGTTGAAAAAGAAGTAAAACAAAAAACTGCGTGATGTAAGAGAGGAGGCAAAGCTGGGTGTGGTGGTGCTAGCATGTAATCCAACTACTAAGGAGACTGAGGCAGGAGGATCACGAGTTGGAGGCCAGTTTGGGCTAAACAATCAGATTTTGTTTCGAAATAAAACATAAAAGGAGCTTGAGATGTAGCTCAGGCTAAAGTACCCAAGTTTGAGTCCCAGTAAAACACACATGCACACACACAGTCCAAGACAGTAGTCCTTGGGAGCCCAGAGCCCTCTGTGGTCCAACAGCTTTGCAGAAGTTAGGAGATTTAAAGACAAGCCAGACAAATCTGTCTGTAAATTAAGGCAGTCCAAAGCCCTCAAGGATAAAGACAGGAAAATTCTTCTGGTTGCAAAAAGAAAAATAAAAGGAATTCTGTTCAAATGCTCTAAGGTAGCCTGCAAATTCGCTTTGAAAATAAAGGATATTTTGTTATTTCCCTGAGGGGAACTTTTGTTATTTTCCTGAAAGAAGTGGAAAGTGGTGTGTTGGTAAATGCTGTTTTATGTGCAGATAGGAAGCAAAACCAGGCCACGCAGTATGGAGGGTCAAAAAGTATTACTGATAAAAGGAGCAGGGGCTGTGGATGTGGCTCAGTGGTAGAGTTCTTGCCGTGTATGCACAAGACCCTGAGTTCGATTCACACACCCACCCACCCACACACACACACACACACACACACACAAATAGGACAGGCAGAGAAAAAGGCAGCCTGTCAGTGGACCAGAAGTCATCGAGAAAGGCAAAGGCCACTGTCCTAGCTTAAATAAGTTAATAAAAGGATCTTTGCTGGTTTGTGCTTACACAGGCAGAGGCTCATAAAATTTTACAGTCTAATGTAACAGGTTACTTAAATCTGAAACTGTGGGAGGGAAAACATGTAAAAATAGATTCAGATTTACACTGAATGTAAGAATGAGGCAGATGACATCTCGAGGCTTAATTTTATTCCACTGAACTCAAATAGATCTTCGAGATTTAGAGACCTTTTTGGTTAACAAAAAAAAAAAATCACAAATTCAAGAGAAATTTAGCTGTGATGGGAACTGTTGCGACAGAAAGTCTCTCAGGTTCAGGAGTTTACTAAGCTGAGAATATCACACTGTCCTAGAAAACAATATTGTTGCCCCTTTTAGATGTTATTCCTAGGTTTTGCTGAGTGTTGTTTAATATATAAAACCCAGAAGTTTTCTTGTAAAAGGTCTATACTCTTATGAAGAGGAGACGGTCTGTTTTAACTGTTGCAATTTTATTCTCTTTTGACATGAAACTATGGGCCACTCAGATAATTTATATCGTGTTAGTATTCCTACAAGAAAACAGGTAAAACAGTACATAGAGAGCAGTACCAGGAAATCTTATTGCAAGCATTAGAGCATTAGAGGTGCTTCAGTTATTAATTCATAACTTGCAATTGTTAAATGTGTATGACTTACATCCTATGATCCCACAATTTAAGATACTCTTCCACAACATAAATCCATGTACTCATGCTAACTGTAGGCTGCGCAAATCAGAGAAGTAAATAGAATGTGCAAGAGTCAGAGGATATATAATATAAATGTGTATTAGTTATATTACCTAGTGAAAGCCATAATCTGTTAATACAGCTATGGATTTATTTTTAAAACATCATCAAATGTACTACTAATAGCATAGTTGTTGTTTTCCAGTGTGGGTAAAGTAATTAAAGTTCTTCACTTTCATAGAGTCCAGACTGAGCTGCCAGACGCTGAAACTCTCCTTCGGGGTTGAAGGCTTGTTTCACATCCAGCCCTCTTCCATTCAGCGCTAAGTACTTGCTGAAAGTTGGTCGAACACGCAACTTCTTAGGAGCTGGAAGAGTCTGGTTTGGACGGGCTGAAACAGATCAAATAAAAGTCAGTTCAGAAGGTCTGTTCTCAACAAATGGGTTATATTTGGGCTGCATTTTCAGGGAAACAAGTAAACTGATTATGGAGAAAATTCCTCAGATTTTAGGCTATGCTGGGATTTGTGTTTCTCATTAAATCTTCTTGGTTAAATGCATCTGAACACTCGGGTTGATAATGACATACCCGTAACATCTAATCTTGTGTTACATGTGGTCACACCAGCTTCATTGACTGCAGACACGGTGTACCACCCCGCATCTTTCTTGTTTACATCTTTTATCAGTAAAGTAACTCTTCCCGTGTTATCGTGATACAAGCTGGAAAAAATACATGAAAGCACAGGAGTTAGGATTTTTTAGTGAAAGCTGAAGTTATATCTCTGATCTACCTAATCTACAAATAAGAAGAAAAAGCAGCCATTAAAATTCCACGGCTGTATCTAGTCATTGTCAAAAGGCTATTGGTGTTTTTACATTAACCATCCACCTGAGGCTACACAAAGCACTGGGCTCGATTCCCCAGCACAACGCACCAAAAAAACCAAAACCACTCTCCCACTCTTTTATTTTTGAGACGGAATCTTGGTATATAGCTCAGATTGGACTTGAACTCTTCTTTTATTTTTATTTTTTTATACCAGGAATCAAACTCAGGACCTTGAGTTGCCAGGCAGGCGCTTGTGCAGCTGAGCTATACCCGCAGCCCTGGACTTGAACTTTTGATCCTCCTGCCTCTGCCTCCAGAGTGCTGGGATTGCAGGTATGTGCCACCATGCCCGGCTCTCCTTTTCCCCCTAATTTTGTTTATATAATTTATGTCTTTGAGCCATCTTTCTTCATTGTTGCTGAAAAGGTAGTTTCTGCCTTAAATTTTGATTAGTGGATCTAACTTATTTAACTTTTATTATACTTCTGTATATTTTTAAACTAGAAAAATTGAGATAATAACTATCATTTATAAAATATGCTAAAGTATAACTGAATTCATCCAAATAAGCTATGGGTAAGTCTAGGAATACTTATCTTACCTTATTCGGTCGGTGTTGAATTGCACCATTTCATTATTTCTTTTCCAGAAAAGCTTTGGTGGAGGTATTGCTGAGATCTGACATTCTAGTTTCACTGACTCTCCCTCAAAAACCTTTTTGCTCTGTGGTTTGTAGATAAACATTGGTGCCCTTTTATGTTCTTTTGCTACATATTAATAAAAATTCAAATATTGAGAATATTATAAAAATAGTAAGTCAAAAAAATTATAACAAATTTGTTTGCTGACATTAAAAGTTTTTAAAAGCAACAACGACAATAGATAGTGTGAATTGGGAAGAAACTGTTCAAAAGAAAAAAACGGTGGTGGGGAAAGGAGAAAGGAAGGAAGGGAAAAAGAAAAGAAGATATTTATACACAAGATAGTTAAGGTAGTTATACAGCTAGTTTCTCTTAGTTCATTGAAAAGAAAGGTTTGTGTAAATATTGTTTGGACCAGATATCACGCCTATATCTTATACTCTGAATAGCCACCATGAAGATAACAATACACGATGTATTAATTATTGTAACTCTCCTACTAACCTGTTTTGAGACTCTTTTATTGTTATTTTAATTTTTTCTCTTTAAAAAAATAAAAGCAACAACAGGATTGTAAGCTTTTAAAAAGTTTTAATCAAGATACTGTAATATACATTGCTCTCTGTACTAGAGTTCTAAAACTGTAATACTGTAAAAGGATTCATTGACATTATAATCATATTTTCTTCAAAGAATTATTATTATTATTTTTTGTCTTTTTGAGGCAGGGTCTCGCTATGCAGTTCAGGATGGCCTTGAGCTCACTTTGTAGCTCAGGCTGGTCGCAAACTCATGACGATCCTCCTGCCTCAGCTTCCCAAATACTGGGATTACAGGCGTGTACCACCAAGCCTGGCTTCTTCAAAGAATTTAAGTTATCTCATGTAGTGGGAGGCAGCATGAGTGGTGGGGAAGGATAACAACATATACAAATTGGGTTCAAGTTCTGCATTTGAGGGGGCCTAGCTCAATGATAAGAGCATTTACATTTACCTTAGCATGCACAAGGTTGTGGGTTTGATCTCCAGCACAAGAAAAAAAACACCAACACACACATACACACACAGGCTCTATTGGTCCACAAGCCACATCGAGTTGGAAAATTTTTTTTCAGTTTCTCTTATCCTCAATTTTAACTATTGTTAAAAAAATTCCTAAAGTAAAAGGAAGGGACTGCTGTGCCTACCACACAAAATAATCAAGTGGAACAATGAATAAAGAGATAGTTTGTAAACTTAAAAGTAATATGAAAATATCAGTAATTGTTATGACTTCAAGTACTTGATGTACAGGGAAAATGATGGTACAATATTATAACTCTGGCTTTCCTGAGGGAGTAATGAGGACTTTGGACAAATGCCAGCCAAGGTCTGAGCTATAATATTAAAGTATTTCTGAAGCCATTGTCATACATAGAATTTGCTCAAAGCTTAATCACTTGAATTGTGTGTGTGTTATTCCCAGCTCATTAATATTTTTCTTAGATTGAGGCCCCTCAGTGTATCCTAGAATATGTAATTTTAAGGATTTTTCATTGATTTAGGGTAGAATCTTGTTCTTTAGCCTGATCAGGCACTTATGTAATAAGCAGTAAATTATAGTGAAATATCTCTTATGCAATCATACTGCTACAGTGGTGGTGTATTTAAAGTGTTTAAATTGTAACATTTAAACTCTGGACACAAATTTCATAAGACCTGCCCTCCCAATACCAAATTTGATGGTATAGGTTTTATCATTCCTGTTTTCTAAAGCAAGTAAGCATGTTTTTGTTATAGAGACAATTTTCCTAGGGAAACATAGTGTAAAGCTAAAAGCTGACATTTCCAATTTTAAACTGTGCACTTAGAAGTATGATAGTTTATGACCATGCTGTAAAAATCATGGTTCACACTGATGACTTTAAACTATGAACCAGAGAAATGGTTGGACTAAGCCTTTTACTTTGAAACCCTAAATTATAAGTAGCAACGCTTATACTATCTTGTTTAATCTAAACTTGTACAGTTTCTTTATTTCTTTTCTAGAAAAGCTTTTGTTGTAAATCTATCACTTCAGTTTCACTGACTTTTCCTCAAAAAATCTATTTTGATTGTTGTAGAGATATGTGAAAAATAAAATAATATTGATAATAACTCTAATGACAACGCAGCATGTTTAACCACCAAAATAACCCAGCTGAGAACAAGCAGATCTTCAAATAGATACATTCTTCTGTTACTAAACACGACACTGGTTATTTCACTTTCAGCAAACATCATGTCACATTAATGCCATTCATTTTTAAAAAACAATCAGCATTCCACTCGGTTATTTAGACATTAACTTTGAACATGAGGTCTCTGGGATTTTCTTTTTTAATACCTTTTCTTAGAACACTGTAAAAATATTTTCTTTCTTTTTCAACATGGGTGGATTTCAAGGGTGTTTCTGGAGGCTTACCGAGGACGTCCAGCTGCACAGTGAAGGTGGCCTCTCCCGCTCTGTTCTTGGCCATGCACACGTAAGCCCCTGCGTCTGAGGTTCTGACCACTTCGAAGATGAGAGAGTGAAAGCCCTTCTCAGAGACTATCATTTTGTGCAGCTCGTCGGACTGCACTGGCCTTCCATTTAGATACCATGACACATCAGGGGCTGGCAGTCCGCTCACCTAGACACACGGACACAGGGCACAACGGGATTTTATTTTTAATAGTTTGCTATTTTTCTTATTTACTGTGACACTAGGGGCAAGATGATCTTTAAAATGTATGATGGAAAGCTGAGTAAGACCTGAGTATTTTATTTTAACATATCTCAAACATGCAGCTCTTGAAGTGGATGAAGAGTTTAAGCTCCATGTCAAAATCTGTTGCTGTATCTGATTATAACATATAAAATATACACCGGAAAGCCTTGAAGATATACTCTTGAATTCTGTACATGTGAGAAACTTGATTAGAGTACAGAACGTTAGCACCATCGGCCATCACTCTCCTTAATTGCTTTGGTTTTTAACATGTTTTAATAGTCTGTGTTTGCAATCCATAATAATGAAACACGTTTGGGGAGTCGGTACACATGGCATCTTGCTCTTTTCTCCTTCCTTGTCCTTCTTACCCCCCCTCCAAGTTCCCTTCTCATCACCACGAAGTCTATCACCCTGTTTCCCAGTGTCTCCCTTTATTTTGCTCTTTACATTATTTAAATTTGGGGCTTTTTGTATAAGGGAAACCATCTGACATTTAACTTTTTGTGTGTGTTTACTTCACTTAGCACTATTGTCTCAAAATCCACCCATTTTCCTTCAAATGGCTCCAATTTGCCAGGTGTGGCAGTGCAGGCCTGTGATTCCAGTACTGGGCGGGCTGAGGCAAGAGGATTGGTGCAAGTTTGAGGCAAGCCTGGGCTACATAGTAAGTTTGAGTCCAGCCAGGATTACATGATGATTACAAAATTCAAAAAAACAAAAACAAAACACTAAATGGCTCAAATTTATCCTTCTTTATGGCTAAGTAGTACTCCATTGTATATACTATATATAGTACATTTTCTTTATCCATTCATCTTTTGATAGGCATATAGGCCACTTTCATAATTTAGCTATTGTGAATTGTGCTGCTGTAAGCATGAGTATGCGAGTGTCTCTGTATATGATGAATTTAAATCATTTGGGAAGATACCCAGAAGTATAGCTGGGTCAAATGGAATTTCTGTTTTTAATTGTTTGAGGAGTCTTTATACTGATTTCTGTAGTGGTTGTTCTAGTTTACATCTCCAGCAAAAACAACAGTGTAGAAGGATTTCTTTTTCTCTGCAACCTCCCCTGCATTTGATTTGTTTTTTTGATTCTTTCTTGAGTCCTTGATGATAACTATTCCTAGAGGAGTAACATGGAACCTCGGTATGATTTTAATTTGCATTTCTTTAATGGCCAAAGGTACTGAACATTTTTTTATGACATGACAGAATTTTAAAGCATAGCATCGCTGGAACTCATTTGTCCATTTATGGATTTTCACAATTGTAGTACCTGGCTCTGTGATTGAAAATGGACAGCAGGAGCTCAAAAAGGTATGTATAATTTTTAAAACAAAATAGTAGAAGTAAAACCCTCAAAATTAATACCATATATTATTTTCAGACTATCCCCAACCCTGTCTCTTTCACCTGCTGTTAAAATAGTTTTAAATTCCCATATTCTGAATATTGCTTTATATTACATTGATTTCCACAAGGACCATGGAAATTATGTGGGTTTTCTGGCTATGTTTTGAGCTATAGTGTACCACATGATTGGCAATTTGTTAAATGCTTTTAAATGAACCTTAACATTAATTTATTTATAAGAAATCTTTTTTTTGGGGGGTATCAAGAATGCAACTCAGGATCTTGTGCTTGCCCGGCAGGTGCTGTGCCACTGAGCTATATCTCTGGCCCAAAAAGGAAACTTGAAAAAAGTTCTCCAAAGTGAGGATAATGAAAATGCACTCTATTGGGGTGGAGGTGGGAGGTAGAAGGGAAGCAGGAGAGCAGAAATAGGGGGTTAAAACAATCAAAGTATGTTATGTACATGCATAACCGTGCCAAAGTGAGACCCTTTATTCTGTATAACTAATATGCAACAATAAAATGAAAAAATACTCCCGACACCCCTCCATCAAAAAAACTCTTCTAACATGCTGTTCTATCCTGAAGAGCTCTTTCAGGTGAAGAGAAAGCAAGGTGGCTTAAATTGGTTGATGGAGGAGAATTAGAGGTACATTACAGTTTAGAAATTCTATTAGGGTATCTTCACTTAGAGTATTTATTAGACGTGCCTATTTTCCTAGGGAATCGTCATAACTTTGTTAGGTAAGTATTTTTGTTACTACCATTTCGCAGATGAGGAAACAAAAACACAGAAGGATTAAATAACTTGTCTAAGTTTATACAGCTGGAAAGCGGCAGGATTCAAAGAGCCTGGATTCAAATCCAGGTCAGCTTGACTCCAGAATTTGGTTCTTAACCATTGTGTATTATTTTCAAGCCATGTGGCAAGCTATGAAGTAGGAAGAGGACATTTTTAAAAACTTAGTAACCAATTGGTAAATTTTCTCCAGTATTTAAAAACTCTTCTCTTACTTTGAAGTCCATTCTGCAGAATCTTCCTTCTTCAATTGACATGTTTTCTGGCACTTGAATGAAACGTGGTGGGTAAAATTTCTCCTGGATTGCATCCTGATCATTCACATCTCCTCTCGAGGATGATCTACTTCTATAAAGATATTTTAACAATAATTGTGCATAAATGTTGCCATTGCTTTTTTCTTCAAACGAATACAGTTTGGTCATCAAGTTTAAAAGCCCAGTATTTGCTGTTTGATCTGATGACATAATCACAATGGAGACGGACCTTCGGGCTGTATTTAGCTGTGTTGTATTTGAAGACTATTAGGTGTCAACTTAGAAACACTGGATACAAATGTTACATCTTTGTTTTTTGCAGTGCTATAAGTTGATGAAGACACTGATCTATGAGTACCACATGGATTATTCTTGTTGCCTACAAAGATTATAATATGAGAATTGGATTTCCATTGTCATTGGAAAGTTATTCAACATGGAGACTGGTTTTCTCTTATTTAACCAAAAACATTTTTAAAACTTCCTCTGATAATTACTATAAAAGTTTTTGTCATCATCTTCAACATTATGGAAATTCCCTTGTGTTTTTTAAAAGGTATGGAGTAAGCCTGAAAATTTTATAAACATCACATTTTAAGGTGAAAATATTTTAGACAGCAAAACAAATATTCTTTTAAAAACTGAGAAGAAATGTTTACCTTACTTGTGCTGTGGGAACTTGCAGTCGTGCGTGTTCTGAGTTGTGCTGCTTGAAATTAAAACAAAGTGAGAATGTTAACATGGCACTACTAGCTTTAAAAGAAGCAAGATTAAGCAGCTGTAGTTGAAAGGAACATTTCTATTTGGTTGTATTTGTAGAGACATAGTCAATTTTATATATTCAGCTTTTAAGCATTTAAATTGTAGTACAATAACTATGTCTGTAGCAAGAAATCCTCAGAATTAACAGGACTATTCAGCAGGTATAAGTTTATAAGTTTATGAAAATTAGTTAATCTTGGAATTGATGGTGTTCTTTTTTCACATGACTATTTTATGACAAAGGATGATGTGTTCCCTTGGTTATCTGAAATGGAAGCACATAGTACGGATTGTCCTTTAGCAAAACAGGAATAGACATGAACTCATTTGTGTTGGCAGTAGATATAGGGTGTTATGCCCTCGGCTCAAGGGTGGCACCAATAGCAGTAAACACATATTAGACTGGAAAATACTTCTCTTTTTAGCTCATGGCACAAAATTCTGTTGGACACCATTAGAAATATATGTAGAACTATAAAAAAAGCTTGGAAATCTAGCATTAATTGCTTCCTGCTTAAAAGGACATATTTACGCAAACATATTTTAAGCTTTATATTTGTGCCCCAGAAAATTAGTTCTATTTGAAAATAAAATTAAGAATTATTAATTAACTGATTAAATGGCTAAGCATATTTTGTGTATTTTATTATTATTGGTAAAAAGAGATAAAAAGAAGTGGCAAATATAGTTCTAGACCAAATGTCTAAACTACACATTTGTAGAAATGTAGACAATCTGAGTATAAATTATTTATTTTGGGAAAAAATCTCTTTAGCTAATATATTTTCTCCTTTTAAAACAAGTCTTACATCTCTATAATAATTTTTAGCTAGCATTAATGTTCTTTAAATCAAATACCAAAACAACTGGTCAATTCAGCAATCCATCAAATCAACTAATATTTTGGAATAAAATATAAATAATCCAATTGAATTTAAAATATCCAAGTTAAGTTTTGACTTCTGGTTTGAATATATTATATTCAGAAGTGAGATATTTTAGTCATACCATAATTTGATGACACTGTATTATTCACATGTTAGTTGAAGTATTAAAAAATAAGATTTATCTTTTCTGATTTCATAGTGATGTTTCTGCTGCTTTTTCCCTGGTATTATCATCACCTTCAGAATGAATGGGAAAAATAATACATCTTTGTCCTTAGAATCATATGTGATTCATTTGTAAGATTAAACAGTCTTCAGTTTAATATTGCTTCAAGTAATTTCCACTAGTAGACATAAGCTTATGGCCCTGCTTCATCCTATTTCTAAATCTACAGAAGCAAAAATCTTATTTTCACTTTTCTATACTTGGAAGCTTAGAATTTTTGAATTCCTTGTTTCAGGCCAGTTTCTTGTGGATTCTCAGGGAAGGAATGAGTGAGAAGGAAGACAAAAGCAAGCAGTAACACTTCAGTTTCCTCTCCCACCATACATTTTTTAGGGGAGGGTTAAGTCGGTTATTAAAATCAAGTTGGTCAGCCGGTGGGATACTCACTTTATGCTCTCCATCAAGCTAATCCCTTCTTGGAAAAGATGTATCATTAATCTTAGAGTTATTACTCAGAGGAGTTTTTGTTTGTTTTTTAAACAAATAACATTTTTGAATACAGAAACATGTCAAAAAGAATTAGATGTTTCATTACTATTACAAGCATAGTTTAAAATAATATTGAAGTGACTGACAACTTATAAGAAAAGATTATGATTACTTTGATTTAGACTTTTAACATCTATCCTGTTAAAGATTCATAATTTAGGGCCGGGTGTGGTGGCGCATGCCTATAATCCCAGCACTCCGGGGGCTGAGCAAGGAGGATTGTTGAGAGTTCGAGACCAGCCTGGGCTACAAAGTGAGCTCAAGGCCCCCTTGAACTACATAGCAAGACCCTGTCTCAAAAAGACCAAAAACAAAAAACAACAACAACAGCAACAAAAAAAGATTCACAACTCAAATTCCCTATCCATGTAGACATAAAAAGAGTCCTAGATCTAATGACCCCTAAATGTCCAGACAAAAAGTAATTTGATTAGTCTCCTGGTGTTCTCACTTTGTGACATTTCATATATGGATATTAGAACTACAGAACATAGGGTAAAATTTAACACACACACAAGTGTATCTCATATATATGTGGTGATTGATTTTTTCCAATGTTATTTATAAGCATGTAGGAAAGCAGACCTTTTAAAATTGCACAGAATAAAAGTGCTCTAAGCTGGGTACAATGATAGTACACAACTATGGTCCCAGTTACCTGGAAGGCCAATGCAAAAGGATTGCTAGAGCATGGCAGTTTGAGGCCAACTTAGGCAATATAGCAAGACCCCATCTGTGAAAAAAAATGTTTTAGTTAGATAAAGAGTGTTGTAGTTTACCTGTGGTGAATCTGGTGCATCACTGCTCTGAGACTGAAACACAGCAGCTGCATTCTGTGGTCCGAGCAATCTGCGAGCCATCTTCTCCTCATACGTCAGCCGCTTTAAAGGAAGTCATTAGCAGATAGTGGTTAGATTTACTGCAAGGTGTTTACCTTATTAAAACTAACTAAGTACGAACTTCAAAGAAGTGTAGTTCTATCTATGGAATTATAGATAGATTCTATATTATTCAAAGAACCACTTTCTTCCACTCAAAGCATTTTCCTTTCATTTTGTATAACTTTGCTCATCCCTAGTAAAGATTCCCATGGGATTTCTTTTTGCTCCTATGTGGCCATTATCATCCTTAAATAAGTTTCTCCCAAGTCAGGTGATCTTTCCCTTCCTTGTTGTTCTGCATATCTTAATCTCCTCTGTTTTTAAACATAGTATTCCCTACCCTCATGTTCAGAAATAGTTTTATTAAATGAATGCTGATGACTTGGAGTCTGATTGAGAGCCTTACAACTGATATGCTAAATGTATTTGGATTAAAGGGAAGTAGTACGATTGCAAAGAGAAGTGGGTGATAATATGTATATAGTAAGAAATATGTAAGAATTATAGCTGTGCTTATTTGCCCATTAATATTATACACCAACAAAATGTTGGGTTGATAGCATTTCTTATTAGTTATTTGGCTATCAGACATTTTATGAGAGTAATATTTAAAACAAATTTTTCATTGAAGCAGATTGATTTTTCATTAGCTTTATTCTTTTGCTGTGGAAATCCAATACTTGATTTCACAGAGTAATACAAAATAGCACACCAATATTCCTCATTTTTGGATAATCATTCTTTGTTGCCTATGTGAACATAAATCTATGAGACAGAAAGAACTTTCCTATTGAAATTAGATTTTCATAGTTTAATTGGCCTTTTGTACAAAAGAGATCTCTTGCCCACTTGATTTCCATTATGCAGAATGGCTTCCTTGCATTTCAGCTTTCTCTCCAAATCCTGAATCAAAGCTTCTTTGGATCCTTGTATTTCATGGTCAGGAGTCCTTGGTGTGGGCTTAGCATTTGCAGTTTGGGCTGGCTTAGCATTTACAGGTTGGCCAACTGAGGGTTGTTGATAGCTTTAAAAAGAAAGAAGAAAAGATTTAGAATTTTTATCAAATAGAAGTGATTCCATTTTGTAAGTTATCTTTAAATAGGTGGAATTTACCACCTCAGACTATTAGTTTTATTAGAAGTATCATTTGCCCTAAAAATAGTTGAGAAGGATTACTCCTTTTTCCCCTCCTTTGTTAATGAAAATTAAATGGGAGAAGGAAGAATTTAGGCATACGGATGACATCCTTCCTTGAAGACCTTCCCTAAAGAATGTGAGAGTTAAGTCTAGTTAATAGTAGCTTGAGTTCTTCTGGTGTTCCAGTTGAATTTCTTTAGTTTGATTGATGGATGGACATTAAACAATCGTGTGCTAGAAGTGGCTCCTCTGGGTTCAGGAGAGCTGTGTTTTAGCATCTCTTCTTAGCTACCTGTCACTATGAAACTGGTGGTGGTGGAAGCATTTATACTGGGGGAATGGGAGAAAGGAAGCCATGGGCCTGTCCCCTAGAGCTAATTGTTGGACATCTCCCAGTCTACCACCGGTTTTTAGTGAATGCTCTATTGCTCTGAATGTAATCTACAGCTTACCTTCTCTGGTTTTCCTATCAATTTCCAATTTATATTAATTTTATTGTCTAGAAAATCCAAGCATTGTGCTATGTAACAGAGAAATTTAAAATAATGGTTTCTTCAGCATTGCCAAAGTCATTTTTAGTGAAAAAAAAAAAAAAGGGGGATGATGAGGCCAGGTAGAAGAAGAAATGCAGCTGAAAAAATGGGTTAAAAAATACAGATTTGAGTAGCAGTGGAAGAGTTTGGTTCCTAAATTTACTTCTAACCTGTCCTTACCTCTCCTAAAGTTTCCTCATTGTTTCTAACACAGGGGAGGGGCACAATTTAGGAAATCTTGTATTTTTAGCCCTGTTAAGTTGTTCAGACTTCTCATAGTGCTTTGTTCAGTGTTTTTTAAAACAATCTTTTTGAGACAGGTCTCGCTGTGTAGGCCAGGATGGTCTTGAACTCACTATGTAGTCCAGGCTGGCCTCCAACTCATGCTAGTCTTCCTGCCTCAGCCTCCTGTGTACTGGGATTACAGGCATGTGCCATCATGCTTAGCTGGATTTTGTTCATTTCTAATCTAGTTTACTTGTTGCAGTCACTACGGGGACCTGGGAAGCTTGCAACGATCTATTTAATATGGGAAAATTTACTATCTCCATAACAAAACTTCTCTACTTATCCAGATAACCTTGGTCTGTTCTCTGATATATTCCTGTCCGAATGTTCTCAAGGATCATTAAAAGGACGTGTGAGCTAAGTGGAATTGTATGTCTTCTGACTGGAGCCAGAGTTTTCACTTTTGCTGACTTTGGGAACTTGGTTAGTAATCATTAGATTACAAGCACACTAAAGAAAAAAACAGTTTCATGTTATTTATGATTGTATCATTTTATATCCAGTAATGCAAAACATGGGTACAGAAGACTCTGTCAGCTCAGTAAATGAATATTTTTCATTGTATGCAAAATGCTCTGTATCGAAAGTGATTGGTACACATTTCCCCAAGTTACATTTCAAATGTTCAGATTTTCACAGTTGTCTATATTAATCCTTAACTAATATCTTACTTTTCCAGCTAAGTAAATACCAAAGCAAGTGTTGAAATAGTTTTTTTCACTCCTCAAGACTGAATTCTCAGACAAAAGTGGAAAATTCTTTTGGTCTTTTAAATCTCATATTCTTCCAGTGGTATGGAATTTTAATAGCTTATTGTTGGTTTTTGTCTTGTTTGTTTTATGTTTATGTTCTTTTTTTAGACAGAGTCCCATTTTGTAGTTCTGGCTGGCCTTGACCTGAGTTTTAGCTCATATTGCCCTCGAATTCAAGGCTACCCTCCTACCTCAGCCTCCCCAGTGCTAGTATTACAGGCCTGTGTCACCATGCCTAGTATATTGTGTTTTCTAATGCCAGCTTACCATCTTTATACAAATTATATACTTGTTGAAGTGAAATTAGACAATTTATTTTCAGACTGTCCTGATAAGTCTTAGAAATTCTGACAGATTGTGGGAACCAAACCTGAAAAATACTGATGTATATGTAAATCTCAGCCACTTTATTCTATGAATCTTCCCATTATTCTAAATATATATGATTTAGTACTTGGTATCTAATGCTATTTATAAACTGATATTATACCTGTACACTGACTTATATGTCTGTTTCTATTATTGATTACCCAATTGTTAATTTTGTGACAGGTCAGAAAACTGAATTACCAAACATATAAGGTACTTGTTGAATGTCACATAACAAACTTTTTGGAAGAAATAATGGAAATTAAAGAGTTTCCCTCAATTTTCAGTGTGTAGTTTGATCAACTGAATAAAACGTTTGCTTAAGAACTTTCTACCAGTGAAAAACTCAACCGCTTTCAAACTTCTCTAGGTCAGAAACCAAGGGATTATTTTAGAAAGCATGGCAAACTGGAGCCCATCATAACAATGAGGGCGTTGTGCACAGCTGTTCAAAGGGCCAGGGCTTTCCACCCTGTACAGCTGGACGCAGCATGGGTATCAAGTGGCCATGGGAAGATTAAAAGAGTTCTCTATGTTGCTGAAAATGGAACAGCTAAACCTGGATCTTTGATGTCTGATTTGGGGACCTCCTAGGCTTTCTTTCTTATTCTGCTTATTTTTTTATTTTCTTCCTCCCTTAGGTCTGTGCACAGCACTAGGTACACTGTTGAGGACAAGTGAAAATCTGTTTGATAGCTTTCTTTTCTGTGCAGGAATTTGGAAAAGGATTGAAAAACTATATTAAGATAAATATTATAGCCAGGCATGGTGGTGCACACCTGTAATCCCAGCTCTTGAGAGTCTGCGTCAGGAGGATCACTGTGAGATTGAGGCCATTCTGAGCTACACAGTGAGTTCAGGGACAGCCTGAATTACACAGTGAGACCTTGTCTTAAGAAACCTAAAAAAAATTATAGTCATAAAAGATTATTTAAAATTTTAAAATGCTCACATAGGAAATTTGGAAAATGGAGAAAGCTAGATGAAAAATAATGAGTAAATGTAACCAAGAAAAACCTACAATGTATGATATGGGTATGATTGGAATTTGGGAAGGAAGGGAGAAAAGGCTCTTATTCTTGAAGATATCCTTTCAAAATATTAGGTCAAGCTCATGGGAATGCCATTTTTGTAGGTCAAACACAATTGACCATCAGCCATTTGAAGTGGTTCAACTTGATATCTATAGCATGCTAACAAATGATTTTGGCCTTAGTGATTTTTGATAGAGAAGGTCTCTTTGCAAATTGAATTGCTATAGCCAGTTCAAGTATGTTTTTCAGAGTTGTCACCAATAATAGAATTTCTAGAGAAATTAGCTTTAGAGAAGACTGAGAAAAATGAGGAAGTTTCAGCAAATATGTCAGTAAGGCTGCAGTAAGACATACCCCCCTAGCCAGCTTTTGAGATGCCTCTAATTTAATTCTCTGATTTTCTAGTAAGCCAAGACATAGGAAAACTGATAGCCCTATGTTTGCATAAGCACAAAGTATTCAGTTCATGTTTTAAAAAAAGCACAAGCACTATGTCCTTCTTCATATCAGGTTTTCTTATGACAGTCTTTGGGCTGTGAAAATAGTTCATGCTTGCATAAGGCAGCAAGTATTCTTCCTAGGAGTTTAGATCACCCTAGCAATTTGAATAAGTTGTGGTTTTAATTACCAAAGGAAACCTTAAGGTCATAACCCTTCATCTATTCAAATCTTCCTTTTCATCATGGTAAGGAAAGCTCATACATGTGGGTGTCTGGATCCCAGAATTCTTTTTTAGATGCTAATTTTAAATTCTTTTAGCCAAGTGGATATTTAGGATTAGAGAGGAAAATGGATAGGAAGAAAAGACTAAGATGGAGAAGAAATTTAATAGCCTTTGCTTATGTGAGAGGAAATTCTAGCTGAAGAAGAACAGACAGGTGTTCCTCATCTCCACTGAGCCCAATCAGAGGAATTAAATTTACAGCAAGAGGAACTTAGACCTAAACAAAAGGTTCACTGTTTGGGGGTTTGTTAGAACCCCTTTTTACATGGAAAATAGGTAAGTTGTCATCTGAGGGTCATTTGAGTTCAGCACAGCCTGGCCGCTGGAGCATGGGTCAGACTGACCTCTTGTTGCCAGCCAGTACTCTGGTGCAGCGTGTTCTGGGAAGATCACGGAATGCAACTGTGGCGTTCCACTGCTTTTAAAGATAGAACAGAATGAACTGCAGCACACACTCAAAACTCCTCAGATACAACTCACTGTAGATGCAGTACAAAAAAATTCACTTACTTGGCGTTCACAGCAGAAGGGATTTTACTGCTACTGTAATCAGGGTGTGACGGTAATATGGAGCTGAGGAAGCTGGCCGGTGACTGGTTATAGGTGGCTGTAACCCTTTGGCCTGGGTTGGAGCCCGCAGGCTGTTGGGAAGCAGGAAAAGCGGAGGAGGACATGGTGATGTGAGAGCTCACTGTTGAGGAGGCAGAAAATCTTTGCTCTGTGCACTGTCGGGGCTGGATAATAATGGAAGACTGTTTGGTCTGGCTGGAGAGGCTGGAGGTTTCCGGTCCAGGAGGCTGCAGCCTGGAGCCACATGGGTTCTGGGACTGGATGAAGTGTTTTGGACGTTCGTAGTTAAACATGCTTAGCTGGTGTATGGAAGATGAAAGCAAGTTATCACTATGATGATTTGTTTCTGGGAAGGCAGGGTCCCAGAGAGGGGGCTGCAAGCCTGGGATTGCAGAAGGCGGCAAGAAGTCAGAAGTAACCTTGGTCTGTCCCTCTCTGCTGAGATCCTGAGAACACTGTGCTCCTGGTTTGGGTGGAGTGGGCTCCTCTTGAAGAATGTTGTTCCTTCCAAAGGAGAAATAATTAAGTTACTGTTTTTGTTGCACAATATTATTTATTTGATTTAATTTTTTTTTTAATTTTAAAGCTTATGTGCCTTTAAGGTGACCTTGAGGGTGTCAGATTTTTCCTTTTGCTATCTCTGTCTTTACACAGATGACTTTTCCCCTGAGGATAAGTAAAAAGGATTCCTTAGTGTTTGTTTCTCCCTGGGTGTAGGCTTTAAAAGGGGCTTCAAATGGTAGAAGCCCCCCAAACTGAGTTTTCCAAAAGGTTGTTTTTGAAAAGAAACTCTTTAATGATACTCAGTGTGATAACTTTATGGTCTCATATTAGCTTATATTCAGACACTGAAGATTCATTAACCACAGAGATTTCATGATTTAAAGTTAACAGCAGTTAAATATGTAATATTAGCCTTCATGTAGCATGAATTCTTCCCATTGCTCATTAAAATAAATTAATTGCCCTTCCAGTACACCAATTCATATGCTGATGATCTCTGATGAACATTTTGATAAACCAAGGGAAACAATATGCTTCCTTTGTAAAGAACATTACTATGATGTCCATATTTTTTCCACTTTTTCTCAATTTCACAAAGTACAGTGAACATCTGAAATTCATTTTTGTCAATTTTGAGTGTCTTTAAAAAAAATTTTTTTTTGTACCAGGAATCGAACTCAGGGCCTTATGCTTGCCAGGCAGGCACTTGTGCTGCTGAGCCATATCCCTGGCCCTAGATTTTTTAATCTTATAGTTCACTACTTTCTTCCCCTCCCCTCAATTCCAAATTGACCATAGTACTAAACTTGATTATGACTAAGGTGCTCCTGTCTGAATGCTTATGTACAATACATATTACAGATCGCATTCTGAAAACATTCAATTTTCTTTTCTTTCTTTCTTTCTTTATTTTAGTTTTTTCCTGTACCGGGAATCGAACTCTCGACCTTGCACTTGCCAGGCAGACGCTGTGCCGCTGAGCTAAATCCCCAGCCCCAAACATTCAATTTTAAAATTATGTTTTGATTGCACTTTTCAGTTACTGTTCTTAATGTTTCCTTAATTATTTAGTTTTCTTTTTATTATTTGATATGTATTTTAAACTAATTTTGAAATTGATTTTTTTTCAAATGATGAACAGGAAATATAGATATATAGATATAAATGAGTGTAGTACATTACCAAGAAAAAGTGGATGCCATTTCCCTTACTGGGCACTGCCATGCCCCTCCTGCTTTCATACTGTAGATCCCCATTTTCCCTTTTTATTTGTTAAAATCAACCTTGAAGGATTAATATATGACTGATGTTTTCCATTAGTATGGAAAATCTGAGCTACATTATAACAGACATAAACTAAGACTAGCCCTATAAATTATTGTAACACTGATTCTATTTTTATTGACGATGTCAGATAACTTAATTCAAAATACATTTACTTTGTTTCATGAAGAATACACAAATACTGAGACAGTGATAAATCAAACTTTTAATTGAAAAATTATTCCAATTGTTTATCATCATTATCATCATCATGTCATCATTATAAGACAAAGTCTTATAATTATTTGAGTTACTATGTGGATGAAAATACTATTAATGAAACTTTTCCAGACCAAACTTCAGCTTGTGATTGTATGTAGCAATTTTAGTAAAGAACAAAAATACAGCTAAACAGTTAAGAGGAATGCCTTATGTAAAAAGAACTTCAAAAGTTTTATATTCCTAAATTTCAAGTTTATGAACATAAATATGTTCAGAGTGCATTATAGAAATGAGTGATAGCAGGTCTTTAAATTGGTGGGGAGAAACGTCTACACAGAGAACTTTAATTAGATCTCCTCAAACAAAAAGCCTCTATATAAAGGCAAATAGGGGTTGGCTTATTTATTCCATTGCAGAACTGAATCTAGGGATTGGCTCCTAACTACTATTCTGAACAGGCACATTATTCAAACCCATTTCAAAAAGCATGGAACAAACTGAGAAATAGCCAGTAAAGATTTCCCAACAAGAATGTTTTCAGATTGTCAGCTGTCTTATTTTTGGTATTGGCCTGTATAGTTAACAATTTCTGGTATTTTTAAAGCTCAATTAAAAATATGCTCTTTGAGAAGCTTCATTTTATCCATGTCTCAACAAAACTTTATGAAGCTATTTATATAAACAACTCCAAAAGACTTTGCTTCACATTTGTAGTTACTGTTCAACAATTCATTTCTACAATAGATTGTATTACAGGGTAGTATTCTTTTATTCCAAATAACATTACATAAATTTTAAAGATTTTAGCAATAATGTATTATTCAATCTCTTAGTTTAAAAAAATGCTGCCTTTAAAAATCATTAACTATTAAAATATCTCTAATGCAGCAGACTTGTACAAAAGGCTGGTAGAAAATATTTTGAGGCCATAGTAACCATCATAATTTACAGTCAGATAAAGTGTCCACTTTCAAGGAAAAACGATGCTGTAAAAATAACGACACACAATTATCTTTCCCTCTGTCTTTTGTATAATTTTAGTGGGATGATTACATCACTTTCTCTTTAAATTTTTGATAGCACCATTATAATATTGTGACTTTCAAAGTTTTCATCTGAGTATCACCTTTGCACACACCCCTCTGTGTTTATAAAAGCAAAACCCGAGACTGTAAGCAGGAATAAAAAAGGGACTTACCCGTAGTTTCAGAGGGTGCCAGCTGGGTAGAACCCACTATTGAAGGGAAGGAAGCGGCATGTCCTTCCCTCACAGACTAATCTAGTGGCTCTGTGCTTAGTATTATAGCTCCCCTGACTTTTATCAGCTGCCAAACAGTGACATCTGATGTGCTTGCCTGTCCATCTACCTATGCTGGCATGTCAAAGTAAGAGTCCACAATCTAAACAATATCTCAGATGTCTTAGTGATATTTAAGGAGTGGGATTACATGAGCTTCTCTTGCAGGCCTCTTTATTTTAGACATGCATTTTGACTCGGAGCTCGACGAGCTCAAGCAGGGAAAGAACAGTGAATTGGACGATGAAGAAAAAGTATAATGAAAACTCAACTTCATTATTGTGCCAGGGCCTTCCGTTTGCCCTGTCAGAGAAACAAGGACCAGAAGGGAAGTAGTATTCCAAGATGAATTTTTCTATCTCTTATGACTTCTCCACTGCTAAGATGAGTGGCTGTGGGCTCCAAATTGATTTGTATTGTGTCATTCTTCATCTGCTCCTCCCTCCCTGCCCTGCTTGTCTAATAAGGGTCAGGGTGAAGCCTGATCCAAGCAGTTTGTTCCAAGAGGAGGTGTGGTCTGTGCAGAGCAGACAAGCAGGTTCGTGGTGTCCCTTGCTGGGAAGCAGGTAGACAGAAAAACATGATTTCGTTTCTTTGGTTTTCTGAATCTGTCTGGCTTATGCCCCTTCGACTTAGTACTTTCATTGTAAAAGAGTTTTGAAATACTTAACTAACAAATAAGCAATCTGTAGAGTTAGGACTGTCAGTGCCCTCTCTTTCATCTCTGGTTACTCCGAACAGTTACAGTTTTCTTTCTATTTTTGTCCTAGAGACCATTGTGATATTTAGGTTTCCATTTTATGCAGGGAATTAAATAACTACAGAAGAAACCATCAGATCAACAAAAGCGCTGGAGTGAGGAGTCACCCAGCCCAAGCAATGTGACCAATCAAATAGAAAAATTTTCATCTAATGGCTTTGGCTCCTCTCCTTAATAGGCGGGTTTTCCAATCTTGATTTAATTACCATGTACATTAGAATATAACAAATACATGTTTGAGTACATATGAGCCATGTAAAATTTTTCACAACTGAATATATCAGTGCACTTTTCTTTAGTATTCAGAGAAAGTTTGGTAGTTGCTGCCAAAGCATGCAGCCCCTACCTAGTAGAAGTACTCTAAAATGTTGAGTGAGTGGTTGCCTACAAAGTCTTATTTCAGGAATCTCCCAAAATATTTCTCCACATCTGCTCACTGACATTTCAAATTTCTAGAAGGGATAGAACTTTTCAATCTGTATTACAGGGACTTAAATTGCATAAAAATAATAAGAATAGCTAGTGATAAAAATAATAAAAACTAGTGCCTACAGTATTTACTACGACACTATACTAAGAATTCTAAGCACATTATATGTGGTATATGTGACTGGTATTTTGTTCTGCTTGAGAACAGGGTTTGGTTAGAGCAAGGAAGAGGAGGGTATGAAGTCTGAGGTCTCTCAGTATTAAAAGTTTGAGGAACAACCTACTAGCCAAGTAAGAAAGATGTGCAGGACAAACTGATAAATCCTAGGTTTTATTCAAGATAAGTTCTAAATGTACCATAGCTAAGTAAAATCTTAGTTCCATTTACTCTTTGTCTTTCAAGTCTTGCTTCTTCTATGTAGGTATTTGTAAGACAGGATGTGAGTTGTGGTATGACATCTGTGATAGCATCTGTGGCTCACCAAGGCTAAAGGTTGCTTATAAAAAGATAATCAAGCGACTGATTTTAGGAAAAGTAAGAATGGTGTCTCTTGCTATGCCCTTCTCAGCAGTTGAGGGTCTAAATTTAAAAATCTTTTATGAACCTGCTTTTCTGCTTCTTAATGTTTGGTTTGCTTTTTTGAATGGTGTTTTATGTTTCTTCACACATGTGGTCATTTGAATGATTTAGTTTCTTTTTTTTTTTTTTTTTTCTGGTACTGGGCATTGAACTCATGAACTTGCACTTGCTAGGCAAGTGCTTTTGCTGCTGAGCTATACCCCAGCCCGTATAAGTGGTTCAGTTTCTTATTTGAGAAAAATCATAGAATCTTAAGGAAAAGAATTATTAAGATGCCAGGTGAGTGAAACTTATTCCCACCTCTCCACAAAGGCAAGCTTTTCTGTTTCTCTAAATGATCAGTAAGCATCTCCTCTCAGTCATTCTAACACCCACAGAGCAGCATATCTTGCTTTGTCTCCCTGAAACCGTTCCCCATGCATGTCAGAGTAATTCTTCTTCTGCCATCATGGCAATCATTAGCTATGCAACTGTCACTCACCCTCCTCATATAAACCCACTGTTGTCTTTGAATGTAAAGTACACATATGCAAGAAAAGAATGGTTGTGTGAGCTACTTCTGACATCAGAGGTCAGATGTATCCATTCCTCACTTCTGCTGTATCAACTGAGAAGGAAAGCATGACACTGAGAAAGAAAGGACTGAAGAGTGAAGATTTTACCTATTTCTTGCAGTTCACTTGTTCTGCGCAGACATACAGTGAAAGAGAGTTTGACTGTCACAGAAGAGGGAATCTTCAAATCAACCAAGGTGGAGTGTGGTAGGTACCATGAGGAGCCAGTTAGCTGAGTAGACTTGTTTCAGTTTGATGGCATTTGTAATTTGAGATAACCAATTTCACATTTGACTCAGTTTTATATTCTTGTGAAACAAGAAATACTAGTGAATTCCACTTAGTTTGGTATTAAAGAGTAAAAATGGTAACTTTGATTTTACTAATGTTTTACAAAATTTTAGTCATATTAATCTTTCTTATTATCTGCTTGGGACACCTGAGTGTCTCTGCCACATCCTAGCTCTGTAACCTTAGACAAACTGCTTAAACTCCAAGCTTTAATAACTCAAAAACAAAACAGTACTTAATTTATCAACCCAACTCAGACAGCTGCTGAGAGACTTGAAATGGGAAATCATATGGTGAACTCTTATCTGGACATAATATATCATAATTTATCTCCTCGACTAGGTTCAAATATTTCAGAAGCAGGAACGTCAGCTATTTACTATTTGATTATCTTATCTGCACAGCATAGGTCATGGTAGACAGTAAAAACAACATTTTCCCCCAGTACTGGGGGTTGAACCCAGGGAGTGCTAAGCTACAACCCCAGTCCTTTTTAATCTTTTTTCTTTTGTGATAGAGACTTGCTAAATTGCCCACGCTGGTCTTGAATTTGCAGTTCTGCCTCAGCCTCCCCACTAGCTGGGATTATAGGTGTGTGCCACCATACCCTGCAAAATTTGTTGACTTTTATGGAATCGTTACCCATGTGTTTTTCTCCACAGATGATTTTATTAATGAAGATGACTATCTCCTATGGAAGACACCATATTGCAAATTCAAGATCATTAAATGTTCTAAAGCTAACTGTCAAGCACAGGTACTTCTGAAGATAAGTTTAGATCTCAGTATTGGTCAGCTACCAAGGCAAACCTAGCCCAGAAACAGATGAACATCTAGGATGTATCTAATCAGTGTTTGTTGAATGAGTTGTAGTTTTATCTATTGTCCCACATGCCATTCTTCCTGGACCCTATAAGGAGTCTTTTTTAATAGGCGTAGGTACTACTTGGGCAACTAGAGTTCCCAAAGTGAAAGAGTTCCAGGAGACCAATTCAGAAATCATAGCCATTGGCTATTACTGGAGATTTATTAATCCTGATAAAAATATAGTGAATGCATATTTAGTGAAATAAGAGCTACTATTTATTATGTTAGCAATGTTGCTGATTAAACCCAGAGCCTCATGCACACTAAGTAAGCACTCTACTACTGAATTGTACTCCTAGTCCTGTGTCTGCTGTTTATTGAGTACCTACTCTGCACTTTCATACATTGTCCAAGGAATGCTCATTTCTAAATCCAAAATCTTCCCCTTGATGTCCGTATTGCAAGTAACACATGAAGTATGCATTCCAAAGTCATGGAAGTACAAGCAACCAGCCCTAAACAATATGAGCCAATCTTCTACCATAGGAGTCATTTGTGGGATGAGGAACTTGGAATAGATGGCTTCTGACTCTACTTCTCTCTAACATGATGTATTTCTCTCACCTCATAAGCCTAAACACTATCCAAGATACCTCTTCTTAAGAAAGATTCTAATATCTTTATTTTCAAGTTAATAGAGAGAGGCTCCATTTACTTATACCAGGCAGGTAATCAAATATGCTGATTTATTGTTTTATTATAATTATTTAGCCCAAAGTTAATGTAAACGTAACTTTAGGCTGGTAAGCTAGTGTGTGGGCTCTGTTAAGATTTTCCTAAAACAAAAAGATTTAAATGACTTTGGGTGGCATACTTTAGGTTGGGTTTTTTAAATCAACGTTTGGGTTTGAGGTTTGTGTTGAGACTGCAAAGTGGTGAACAGTGGTGGATTGTATTGTTTTAAACATAACCTGATTGGCATATTCACTTGCCAAATTGTCTCTTCCATTTTTACATCTGCCCTCTGAATTCAAGGAAAATTCTGTCTTCCTTCCTTTCCTTTCTTTCTTCCTTTCCTT